ATATATATATATATATATATATATGTATATATATATATATATATATATATATAAAAACGTAACATATTCGTGTGTGCTCTTCGACGCGCACGGTCACATGTTTCATCACGTCAATATGTACATCTAAACAGCACTGGGAACCGCGCGTGTTTGTGTACGTCAGTGTGTGCCTTTGTAATACGTTTGTGTATGTTTGCGGGTTACATGTGTCTTCCGTGCGGCAATGGTAACCAAGAACAATCACGGAAACAATAATCATCATAATCAATAACGATGTAACATACATATGTAACAACGGAAACGGTATATTCCATGGGGGACAATAATGGGAACCGTGTAACACGACAAAGATAAGAAAATTAATCCAACCAATATTGGCCTACGATTATCTAGATGAAAATCGAAAACGAACATGGGTGGGGTCGGGGGACGCCACGGTGAAATCAAACAAGGCATCAAGCGATTCGTCTGTAGCCGACACTTTCAACAACGGTGACCCGTGTCGAGTTAGCGATATTCTTTCGACGTCTCCGTGGACTTGTTCAAGCACAAAATTGTTGCTGTTTAACGTAGTTTACTCTCGAAATGGATCACCGGGGCGCATGTAAAGTTTAACAATAAATGCTCACTATATTTTGCAGCTATTTCTAAGTTTTGCACGGGAAAGATGAATGAGAAACAACGGGTAAACCACGCGAGATGATCTCCTCGGGTTGGAATATCGCTGGGGAATCTGCGGGTCCGATCGAGAATCTCTTGTGATTGTAGCCCTTCGAAAAATATCGATTTCCGTTTCGCTTGTTGTTTTTTCAAAGTGGAAGTGTACTCGGAACAGTTCTCGGCCAAAAAATTCTCTCGATGATTCGATATCCGTCTCAAGAGTATTCTCAACTCTTTCTTCTCGTAGTATGTTTGTAGTATAAGCTGTACGTTAAAGCGAGAGAGAAAGAGAGAGAAAGAGAGAGAGAAAGAGAGATAGATGAAGATAGATAGAGAGCAACGCGAGAGTGATTTACACATCGCGAATATAATTTTGACAAGTGAACGGGGTAAGTTTGTTCTTTTAGAAATATCTGCACTTGATGCGTACCGGTGGTGTATATACGTGTGTTACTTGTACGTGTATTCTTATGTAATACCGATAAAACACGATCATGGCGGTGCGAGACTCACAATCAGTAGGATTGCACGGAGAATGAGAGAGGGAGACGGATCCAAATAAATTGGGATAATCGCAGGATCGGAGCGTGGTGGGTTGTCGGGAAGGGCGGCTTGACTGTTGAGAAATAAAGGTATCATAAACTGTCATATATATATATATATATATATAGAATCAAATCTAAGTAATACAATAAGATAAATGTAGCTCACATCATAATCAGAAAATATGTACAGAGGTGATAAAAAACACATTGACAACGAACGAGACAACACATCCAACGAGCGAGCCACTATTGTATGGTCATAGCTGTATAAAGAGCGGTATATATAATATATATATAATATATAAAATATAATATAAATATATATATATATATATGTATATATACGATATCAAGATGGTCGTCCACACGAACGGATATGAGGTCAGACGGGGGTTTTGGAGTGTAAGACGACGGGACTTTGGACTCAGAAACGTACAATATACTCGGCACTTTGGAGCAAAAGGGGTCGTTGCCATTGTACGGTCGGTAGACGCTCTAAGACCGCGATTCTCTCATGTATTCTGCATCGCGCTTGGTCCATTGTGTCGATCGGTGGAATTCTAAGAGCGTCCACGTACGTCCCGTCGTAACGAGGCATCGATAATAGTGTGATGTAACGGCGGTGCGCAATAAACAGAGCAAAAAACACGAACGACAGGTTTACGGCTACAGGTTTCAGTCACGCACGAGGGTACGCACAACACTGTCTATAATACCTTCTGGCGTAAAACGATGCGTATCGTGCCGGATGAAACGGATGAGAAGGAGACGGCGAGAGAGAGAGAGAGAGAGAGAGAAAGAATAAGAGAGAGAGAGAGAGAGAGAGAGAAAGAAAGAGAGAGAGAGAAAGACAGAGAGAGAGAGAGATATGGTGCTCGAGATTGATATAGAGGAGCCCAATAGCAATCGCTTTCGCGGCACGGATAAGCAGTGCTTGACCGGAAAGAGCGTACGAATTATCACGACTTGTTCAATTTTCAGCTGGGAGCATCTCGAGAGTTCGGTGCTAGTGAAGAGATTTTGACTTGCGAGTTTCTACGAGCCAATTGTCCAAGCCAATTATTCAATGCCAATCGTGGAATCCACGGAAATGCGTGTTCGAATCCTTCGACCGTGCATGTACGCATGGATCGATACACAGGAGCGATTCCTGAGGAATCGCGCGTACGTAAGTGCGTGTGTCGAAGCTCCGAAACAACAGTGCGGAGTCTCGAAATGTTTTGACGAGAGAATTTGGACGAGTACCGTGCACTTGGTGCGAATTTAGCCTCCTCCGGGGGGATGGATATATACCGGCCGCACTAAGTCGGGCTAAGGGATAGTGGTTCGTGAGGGAATGCTGAAGGTACAGTGGTTCAAATACTAGCGAGCAGCAAAACGGACTTTGCGGCAGGCTGTGCTGGCTGAATCAGCGGTGATGGCGTGATTGGGAGGAGTAGGTACCGGACCCGGTTTCTTTCTCCTTATTCATTCGTTTCTTTTCTTTTTTTTTTCTCGTCTCTCTTTTCATCGAGGGGAAGTTCACTTTCTGCTGATTTGCGGAGAAGAAGAATAGAGGTACTGGAAGGAAGCTAGCTATCTCCTGGAAGTCGAAGTTACCTTCAGCGGCCGCCACCGGTGCCTCCTACTTCCAGAAGATGGCACAGGCGCTCCCGTCGTCCATCATGCACTCTGGAATACAGAACAGAAACAAAGAAATGGCATTGGACCCAAAATACACCATCCGTCGTCGTCGTCGTTGCCTACGTGAATCCTCGCGAGATTCAATTTGATCATAGACTTGCCCAATTGGGAAACGTACGAACGCGTTTCTTTCGCGCAGTCGTACGGTGCACAGGACATTTCTTTCGATCGGATCTTCTGCGTGACGAATACGACAATACCTATCGGATTATGAAAAAAAATTCAGTTTAATGATCAGTGACAAGAAAATTTGTGAAAGGATCGAAACGACGCGTTCGGCGGAACCATTTCTCTCGCAAATCGTCAATTTACGTCCGCAAACAGGCTGCTTTTTGCCGATTGCTTTTTACGCGCTACGTTCATGTAGCGCGATATTGAGCTCCCACTAGAATGAATATTGTGTTTGGTTATTATTAAGCACCGAGAGCATGGATATTTTCGAGTTTAATCGCGATCGTGCAATTAGATATCGCAATTACGGTAACCTAATTTTCATAACATAATACCAGATCATAAATATAATGCTATCAGTTTAATAGACAATTACAATCGCAGGAATTAAACGAACGCGAAGCATAAACGGCGTACTAACAAGATTCGAAACTCGTATAATGCCATTCGAAGCGTTGGAACTCGCGCAATCTGTTTCCGCAAGTAGCACAATACGCCGAGTTTTTACGCTAACTGTTCGGGCAAATTCACATAAATTGGGTCGTCGAATATTATCTTCGATTTCTCCGGAACGTATGACTGTCTTCGTTCCCGACAAATTAAACGAGACACTTTCCGCGGCAATCTGACGCCGGAGGTGTTTACACGTTTTCGGTTAGATCATCCGTTAGACGCTCCGTTTTCGATCTACCGCATTTCCCGCGTGAATGAGCTTAATGACGCGTTTCGCGAGGATGTTATGGAGACGCAAAATTGGCGAGCCGAGTTAAAGGTCGTTGTCGCGGATGCTAGACGCGAGCTCATTCTAAGAGATGCCTCGGCTCGCGCCTTCCAGCCGGGCTCTAGGGCACATTTAAGGATTTGTCTCGGGAAATTAGATTCTCGCCTGACTTGCAGCCTCGTTGCATCCCCGCTTTCCGCAGATTCTTCCCTCCCCCTCTCCTACCCGGCAATCCTCAACATCCCCCCTCCGCCTCGGTTCTCTTCGGCGTATCAACGCCTCGCCGTTTCTCGCTGGAGAATATCCCGTCTGTTCTTAGCCCCGGGTACTTTTCACCGAGAGTTCGCTCCCATTGTCGCGTCAGGACACCGTGGGGACCAAGAATTGGACCTTTGTCGCCGGAGCTAAGTGTTAACGCGCCCTTCGTGTCCTCTTTCCCCCCGGCTCTCCGAGCGGAAGCGAAGGAGGAATTAACTCTCGGGAAATTATCCTCTCGCTGGACGGCAGGAACGAAGCGAGCGTTCTGTTTGACACGTCGCGACTCGGCGCAAATGACACTCAAACCGCATTTATTCTGCGAGCGATATATATGTACAACGACAGTTCTTCTGAATTGCCGCGAGTTTGTCGAACGGTAATTCCGTCGCATCGTCATTACATCACCGCGTTCGTAACACGACGCGCACTCAAATGATTTTCAAATCAGAAGAATATCCGAATATCAGCGACACTTGTCGCCGTAAACAATGTTAAAAGATTAAATTGTTCAGACAAAATCGCAAATAAGAGATTTTTTCATAAAACACCCACTCAAATAATACCGATCTAGATTTACACGGTAAAAAACATTTTGTATTTGCGTTAAAATTGTTATGTTAAAATTTCAACATATACGTGTGTTAATTTAATATATTGTATTTATGTTATATTTCAATATATATATTTTGTGTTGAGTCGATATTCAACATATATAAGTATTAAAATAATATATTTTATATTTCAATATCTCGATTAATTATATTATGGATATTATAATCTTGTTAATTTTTCACGTAATATTTATGTTATTTTTCAATTTATTCACTTTGTGTACAGTGGAAGATCTACGCGATGAAATGAAAAAGGAAGAAGGAATCACGTATAATCGAATAGAAGGAAAGTTGGTGGCAACTGGACTCAGTCATTGGACTGAGAGAGTCCTTACGATTGTCAAGTAACGAGTGTAAACACAAATTGACGAGCGTCAAAACACAAAATCCTTCCACGCGGAGTACCGCTCTCTGAGCGAATATCGCAGTAAACAAGGATGTTCCGCGAATGCGCCTTATAATTTCCCCGCTTTCTAAAGCGTCGCGTCCTAAAGAAGCGAGCCAACTCCGCGGGACATTCTCGCGCGCAGTTGGTCCACAAATTGAAACTGCAGTTACAAATCCGGCCGAGTAAGTTCGCACTCGGTCCGCGGGCATCGTCACTCGTCCTTCCTCCCGTAAGAAGCACGAAGACAGGCTCTTATAATCCGCGAGGATTTCTCTTGGACGGTTTAAGACCAGTCCACCAGCGTCACGTCAGCCGATGCCGAACTTGGCAGCAACGCGAAGGGCGGGCTCCCTCCCGATACTCCGGAATACTACGTTTATCTACGGGTAGAGAGAGAGAGAGAGAGATAGTAGGGGCGAGTGATGGCGGTGGAAGCAAGGTGGCTCGCCGAGGGATCGAAACTTATCTACTTGCTCAACTAGCTCCGCTACAGCACCCACCCTTATCCAGTCGTAGAAACTTCGGCCCCTGAGTCGGCGGGCCAACTTCCGCGCGAGATACGCATTTCTCAAATCTGTTCTCGTCGCTGTAAACTTAATTCCGAGCTGCTTCGATGCTACTATCGCTCGGCAGGCGGGAAAGGGGGACGAAGGAAGAGGTGTCTTACCATCGACGTGCGTGAAAAATGCGTTTCGGGAAAGAGCACTCTCACGAGCGGCTTTCTTCCTCGCGGAGGTGAGCGTTGTGATACGCTATACTCGTCCCGATAAGAGCGTGAAATGCACGCGTAGTCGGTTTCTCGTGCGAGTTATGGTCGCGGAAATCGCGGGCGTTGTTTGTTCGCGATTCGGCTTAAATTCGGCGAGTGCCAGTAAATCGCACAGATCGACGATAGAGTCAAATGAAGTATCCTCCGCGATTGTTTTCACAGCGAACGGATATATCGCGCTAACGTCTCTCGCGTAAGATCCGACGCGCCGGGAAAAAGCGGTGTACCGCGCTCAAACAAGCTCGTCCAGAGAGACGTCATTTCCGCAGTTCGAACGTTCCAGCGCCGCAACGTCTTCACAATTAAAGCCTGATTTATCCTTTGTACCGCTAATAGGACGTTACTTTGCGAAGCCATTGCGCGCCGGAGTGCTAGTCGTTGCAGAATCTATAAAATGATGTAATTAAGCCCCGCACGTCGAGCCCTGCAAAATGCGGGAGTAAAGGGCGGTCATTAACGTGGAAAAAGCGAACGAGTCCCTGGAAACAATGAAACCATTCCCGATGGCCGGAAGTGAGGAGTATCCTTTCCCCCTTCGTTCCCACCGTTTTCAACCGGAGGCTCGTCTCGAAGAAGTCACGCCGACGAAGAAACGTAAGATCCATCGTTGCGAGAGAGTTGGCGAAGAAGTGAGAAAAGTGCGGAGCGTGAGAAGGTACGTCCGTCGGTTACAACTCGATTGCCTCGGAAAACCTGCTTCCCGGCAGATATACAGCGCTGAAACGCTCAGAGGTCGACGAGAGCGAATTTGGATATGGATTGAAGCAAACCGAATCACCGCGGCCTAAATCGCCGAAATGCGTGCACCGCGATCGCTGCCAGATGATAATCGTGTAATATTGCTAATTGCCGGATCGCGAGGCGCAGTCAAACGCGGGAGGTTAGCAAAACGGTTTACTCTGCTCGGCATAGTTTCATTCCGATCGATGTTGATCCTGAAGCAGATTACGAGCGCAACATTCGGGCCCTGCAATTGCGTAATCGTGGATTCGCCGTGATCCGGAGCATTATCTCGACGAGTTACACGGTGTGATTAACATCGGGTGAGAGAGTCGTGTCAACGGCTACGAAGGATCGTAAAGATCGGGATACTTGTTAAGGAACGCGAGGAGGTCGATCGCGAGAGACGCGAAGATGAAGTGACGGAACGAATGTACGCGGCGATGGGGCGACTCGCCGAAGTTCAGTAACCCCCTGATTGAAGTAGCGCGACTACGTGGATACAGCATCTACATAGGTATACCGCGCCACAGAAGCAGCACCGTGCTCAGGATCACTCCTGCATCCGCGTCAAGCCGAGGCTTTGTGGGGCCACACGGAGGCAGGCGACCGGAGATTACAATGGCATCTCCTCCAGATTAGCATATGAATTACGATCCCCCTCATCTGCTCCCCTTTGCCGCCCCGCACCTTCTTCCACGTATCCCGGTCGCGTCTCCCTCCCTCTCTTATTTTCCTCCCTCCTCCCTATCTTTGTCTGGGTGTACCACTGTCCTCCTTTATCTCTTTGCGCAAGAGTCCTACCCACCACCTTGGAAGGACTTCGGAGTAGTTGCCTGTCCCCGGTGTGGCGCGGACTTTGCGAATGGTAACGAAGGGGGCCCCGCCGGCTCTTAGCCTTCGGGAATTCCCGGACGAGCTTCCCCGCTATTTACATGCATCGGAAGCGACGCCGGGAGCTTCGGCGATGGCGCTCGCCGAACGGATGGAACGGTATCGATCGGTTACGGCCCGCCTCCAAAGATAAATACCATATTTTTAATTAAATCGCGGCTCTCTCCGATGGCGCACGGCTGATATATATTTGCCGAGGCGCTTTATAGAAATTAATGCGTGGGCCGAATCGGAACGCGCGGCGGAAGATGGAAGAGCGTCAGATTTTTGCGCGAGATACAGAGTGTTATGAGCGCTCGCATCGCGCCCGCTGGGGATCGTGTTTGCAAATAATAACCAGCGGAGTGGAATAGATCGAAAGGATTACGACTCTCACGCGAGCGGGAGGAAATACGACGGGCGCGCGCGAGACAGAAGCGACAACTCTCATTAAAAACGATGGTCGATCGGCAATTTGTCTCTCGATTATCCGGGGGTCCCGTCATGCGTACATACGCGACTCCGTTATCCTACCGTGACGCGAAACTTACGACCTTCGGCTAGCGTAGCGATAAGCGAATGTAGATGCGGCCACCGTCAGCTGTGAAATTTCACGTAATTAATAAAAATTCGGTCTCCCAGCTGTACGGACGTGGTATCGCGAACGACAAGTCTGCAAAGTCGATGAATATCAGCACGACTCAGCGGGTGGCACCACGGTGTGTACATTTTTTATCGCGGAGTCTATCGCGCCGGTGGCGCGAGTATGAATTTTACACGACGAGCGCGCGTTATCGTGCGACTCGCTATTACTGCGTATTACCTGTAGTTTATTACATAGTTGTCTTGTACGTGCGCGATTGACACGGAATATAATGCTGTCGAAGTCGTCGAGTACTTTTTTTTTGCGCGCGGTAAAATTATCTTGTATCTGTAGCGAATGAAAGTTGTACTTGTGCCGAAATATCAGTAGCGTAGGGCAATACGGGGCAAGATGAGGTCGCGGGAAAAACGCTATATGAAAATAATTACGCAACTATGGACTTGGACTTGAACGCATAAGTAAGAGAGGCGAGTCCGTGACGAACAATATCAGGTGCTATACACGTCGAACAAGTTCACGAGAGACCAGTATCTGATATAATTTTAAGAATTGTTTGATGTTGCGTCAGATAATATATTTGTGGCACAATACTGAAAGAGGTAAGTAAGTTATACGTAATGTGTTATACTTTAGTTAGTTCATCCATCCTATGGCTCTACAGCCCTCATTCGGGCCGTAGCCTCCTTTATTTTAGTTAGTAGATTAGTCTTTTGTGTCAACTCAATTCCGCTATTCTACAAAACTTATGTAATTTCACATCTACTATTTGGGGGAAGGAGTCGACTGAATGAGGCAAAATAGGGATATTTCCATGTTACCCTAATAATCCTCATTACTGCTAAATATTACCATATTTTTAAATGACTATGTGTCGCTTTGCTCATATTATTTAATATATGTATTGCACAAGTCTGTATTCAGAATCTATGGAAGACTGTCAAATTTGCCAAATTTGTCAGCGTACAAATCTTATACAGGAATTGACATAACGGACGAAAAATTAATCAGATTTATTTGTAACTTATATGTGAATGACAAAAATCATTTTGAATTTAACCACTTTATTTTATCGCCAACGCTATCCCATCTTATCTCGTATTGTAGAATAAGATGAGGTTAAAGAGTATCTTAAAAAAGGTTTTATTCTATCTTTTACTTCTTTTCATCTCAATTTTGCATCATGTCCAAATATAATAATTGTTTATTATAGAAACGTATTAATAAAAACCTGAATTAATACAATTTCGCTTTTATTAAGCCTTTTCTCAGTGTCCCTGTTTCACCCCATATTTCCCCTACATCTAATTTTTATCGTGAGACGAATCTCTACTCACGGTATATTTAATCTTTCGTAGAAGAATGGACACTCCTTCGTTTTGTTTTTATCATATCGAGCCATTGACTTGTACGGTGTGAAGAAGTATTATAGACAACAAAAAGTGAGAAAATGTTGTTTCGATAGCGTCCCTTCCCGCTGATGTATCACTTAGATTTAAAAACTTAAAATATAGAATTTTCTTAATAGATATTCAAGAGAATCATTGCTACACACATATAATTAGATATAGTAACACATTTTTCTCGACGTCGAGAGAAACGAATATTGGATCGATTGTTTGTTCTCACCTCCGCGGTTTTCACTGTCCGCCGGCTTCACTTGAATAGGACGGTTCATCTGCAACAGAAAAATAAGAAGAACGGGTTAGTCGTCTCGCGATACACACAACACTAGCTACGTTCCTACGATATCTCGAATTTTTATGAACAATCGTGTGTCTTGTCTCGTCTGGAGAAAGAGAGAAGGATAGAGAGGACGGAAGCTCGCGTAAGAAGAGCGAAAATCCACGTCGCGACACGAGGAAGAGCGAAACCGGCGCGAGACGAAAATATCCAGTTTACCGAGAAAACGGAAGTATCGTTATTTGACCGGTATGTGTGCGCACGTCCTTCGCGTCACTTCGGCCCCGCTCAAACACCATCAGTGGTTGCGAGAGCTTCCTCTGCCGTTGACAGTTTTGGCTGTCGGAGTGTACGCGGGCTCGCGAGTCCGAGAAAGGACGAAGTGAAGAGCCGGGCTCTCCCACGGTTGTGGGTTACGAAAGCACGGAATCTGCCACTCGTCCTTCTCGGTACTGTCCCGATGGTTCGGGATCCCAACGAACAAATAACATTGTTTATTTCTCGGACGGGTCTCACCGCCACAGCGCGTTCCAGTTCGCTCCTGGGGGATGAGGATGCATGATTCATGACGTAGGGAACACAGAACCGTACTTCGATCCTGTCCGTCTCGCGCGCTCGTATACGCTCTCCTTTCTTCCATCGACCTCTCTCTCTCTCTCGGTCTTGAACTCTTCGCCACACAATGAACCCCCTCCCCCCCACCTGCCAGCGTTTCCTCCACTTCCGTGTCTCTGTTGGCGCTTCCAACAGTAGCATTATCCTACTGCTGGCCTTGCAGGTCCTTTCTCTCTGACCAATTTTCCTCCGAGGATCACGCAGACGCCCGTAGACGCGAGAGGGTTGCGGATTTCACACGGTTTACCGGTGACACGATTTAGCCTTTCAAATATTTGTAATACGTGTGCTCGCGGTACAGTGCGGTTGCGCCAGAGAAAAAAAGAAAAAAAGGTGATATGATAGTTATGTATAAGTGAGAGAGCGGTTGCCGAGGGTAGTCGAAGAAGAATAAAAAGTTTCATCGTTCACGGCACGATGTTCTGCGTGCTTCTCGGCGATTACGACGAACGTTTTAAGCGTGAGGTTGTAACTCCAAATTAATTCGATGCAGCGTTTCGCACCGCATAATTTACGGTTTATCGATTATTAAATAGCGCCTCGCGAGAGAACACGCGTGCGGAAAGTGAAAAATCCCGCGAGGTGAATTTTGCTTTCTGTTATCGCGTCACAGAGGGTATCTCACAGGAAAGATATACACAATCGTCGTTTACGCACCGTTAACATATAACAGCGCATTTTCGGGAGGGAGAAAATACGCAACCGGATCCTGGTTCTTAGCGCGGACGCATGTACCACTGGGCATTGCGACCATCTGTCTTCTGACTCGCTTGTTTTTTTTTTCATTATAAATACGCCGCCTGCCATAAGAATCATGGGGGAAAATACGATGGGGTGGAAACGTGGCCGGCAAGCCCGAAAGTTTTTCTGCGCGCATGCATGTCCGACGCGAAGAGGGGCGGCGATGTACGTTACGCTCGGGGTCAGTGCCACGACCACGTAGATATTACACAAGGTGTACGTACGCGAATCAAATGAGCGAGCATGGGTTCCGGGTTCATGGAGTTCTCTCTTCTCCGAGATCGATACGGCTCACCCGGCCTATACACACCGCCGAGAGAGAAATTTTTCAACGACACCCACGTCGCGCCGCGAGCTCACGTGAGCTCGTCGAGTCACGGAGGGACGGGAGATTATGAGATTGGCAAGATCCGCGTGCAGAGGCGAATGGAAAACGCGAGATTGCACATCTCCCCGATGTACACACAAGCAATTAACGGCATCTCCGGGGACCAAACTCCGCACTATCGATTAATCCGACGATATGCGACTGTCGAGAGCGGTAATTACTCGCGTCTCCGTGAGGAAGGCCTGCCATTAACTCTTTAATATTTCATAGTGGCGGCTGTACGTCCGGTCGCGATTCCCGGGGCGCGAGGGACGACGGAAGGAGAGAAGTAGCGCTAACGTGACGACAAGCGTAAGGGGGTAAGCGAGAGCAAGGCGGGGCAACGAGGGGAAGTGAGAGGAGGAGCGGGAGGGTCACTTTAAGCACTGTCCGCTGGTCAGGAAATTAAACTTTGAGTCGAGAACTGGCCATTAGGCGTTTGTTGTTGCCGCGTTGTCAGGGGAACTCGTATAGATACCGGAACTGAGATACGACGCTACTCTTGTCTCTCCGGAGTTTAACGCTGAATGCATCGTGTAAATGTCACTTACGACCCGGGGGATCTGTACCAGTCAATAACGATCAGTGCGCGAGACTTCCGCACGGACCGAGACGTGCCGATTAACACGCCGGGCTATTAACTATCGCGTAACCTCGTTCTCGATGCTCGTAGTTACTCGTAGATTGGAGCGAGGTGACGTCAATTAGCAGTGAGTAGGGTGTCGCGCCGTCGCGGCAGACGCCTCTCGCTCGTCATGGAAGGATTCATAAAGGTAACGTTCGCCCGAATCGACGGATTCCGATTCCGAACGTGATTAGTGTGGGCTGAAAGAAGGTGCGATCGACGCGCGTTATCTTCGCAAAGGAATCGTAGATTAAAGTTGGCACGCGGAGGAACGAACGCGTAAAAGTCGTTCCGATTAGTTCACGCCGGAGGATATAATTAAGTACGTTTCCAGAGACGTCGCACTTTCGCGATGAAGAGAGAGAAGGGATATGCAGAAAAAGCCGCGCCTCTATTTAACGATCGCGTTACGATCGAGCGTCGACCCTTTGGCAATTTGTGTCATCAGCCGCGTGCACTTGGAAAATCGATCCCCTTGAGAGGCACCGCTCAAGATGGATGGTAATAAGTAAATGTGTTTGCTGAGCCCCGAGCGCGCATCACGAGCAATTAATTAAGCTCGATTATCTATGTACACTACGGGAAAGTGCGCCTCCGCTACCAGCCGGTAGATGCTGAATGATAGCCACGCGCCTACTGCGGCGCGTGTAAAATTTCGTATCGCCGAATAATCAACAAAGACGATGCTCTTCGCGTGGTTATTTCTTCTTCTGCGGAACGATGCCATTCGATACGCACGGCGTAAGGTATCGATCGCAGGAAAGATACGCTCGGGTTGAAAAATACGGCGCGGCTTCAATATGGGAATGTTGATTATCTCAATTTATACCGGCCGATAAAGCGAGTCTCTTCTTTCGGTACGAATACATACGGCGGCTCCTGGAAGGAGGAGGCGCAAAATCCAGATAGAGGATGGGCGCAGGCTGATAACCGGCGAATTGAATGGTGAATGCCGTTTCGGAAATTGAATAAGCTATCGTGCCACAGGGCCGAGTGGCGGCCGGTATTTGACCTGCCTGCGTGCAATCAATGTACTGATTGGAGATAAGGGCTCGCCCTGTAGCCCCCGGCATCCTCTCCGGCATGATTTATATACGTGCGGCCTTTGCCGGCGATGTATTCATTACTTGATTACCCCTCGGCAGGTTAATGCCGATCGCGATCCTGCAACGGATATCCGTGACTTTTCCGCGATGAATATTCACATCTCCGATTTTCGAGCCTGGCGTGTTTCAGTATCGCGCGAGTGACACGTCTTCTCCGAAGCGGCAATTTCGAGACTCACGGCGGGATCCGTTCGCACGATCCTTCCAAGCTCGCCGAAAATATGGCTCGATTACGAGCTCTCGACATTTTCGTTACATAATTCAGATATTCTAATTACTGCATTCGCCGCGTCTGGCTCGAGTTAACTCGAATAATCCTTCGCAGGGATATCAAGCGGAGAACTGCATACTAACTGCACGAAATCTGCGTTCGCGGTCGTACCGTTAATACGGCTAATTTGTCGACTGAAGTCTCCTCTCCCTCGCCCTTTGCGTGTATGCTGCGCGCAAGAGAAACCAAAGCGGAAAGAGGATGCCACCAAGCAGATTACATCTAAATGGATCCCGGCCGAGATCTAATTGGCAAATTAATTGCAACCCAAAATTAATTCCGCCGCTTCGACAATTGATATTTGACGTGCCGTTTGTTGTCGACTAACCTCGGAAAGAGACGATTCTCCGTCTATGAACCGCTGCAGGTTCAGTCGATTACGAAAGCCGTTCCATTGCTGCTTGCCGCGCTTAATTCCCGCCGACTTTGCGCCAGCGACATCGCGCGCGCTTTTTGACGCGATCAAACAATGCGACTCCGACCGAGTGATGACTCGTCCAGGTTGCGATTCAGGACGAATAAATGCGGCGCGACGGACGCTTGCCAGTTCGACTGTTCCGTGATTATAAATAGGATTCGCGTTTTATTGTCGGGAGCGGAGTGCCGCGTGATTGAACGTCACGCCGTATAACGGCGATGAACGCGGGCCATGTGCATCGAGACGACCTACTGATAAGTTTATTAATAGTACCGGAATAACCGTCAGAGAATACATAGCGTATCTCTTGAGATCCAGAATAAGATGGCTCGAGTGAGTGACCGAATTGTACACAAGGATAATAAGTAAGCGCGAATAGAAGGGTGTTCTACTGAGACGCTAGGGGAGAAAAATTATTTGCTGGCACGGAAAATCTTATGCTCTCGTGGCAAAATCTGTCAGTTACTGTGTAGACAATAAAATGATTTATTCCGAATACTAAAGTAATCGCCTAAAACAATCTCGAGTCGTAGAGTAATTTCTATCAACGCTGTCCAATTTCCTAGACACGTAAAATTTCCAATTAAGAGTATTTATTATTTGTGCGTCACAACTATTGATAATTTGATGAATTGCAATGATCTTCCGAACAAATTAACGCAAATTATCCTAAGGACAAATTTACAAAGTGTTGAATATATTTTATATTCAGGCTATATATTTTATATGGCAACAAAACTGTTTGATTACGAATAACTCGGTAATTTGATTATACCGACTAAATTTTATCGCTGTCGAATATCAAGTAGCAACGATATATTCGCTATGATAACGAAATTATTTTTCTCCGTGCAGATCAACGAAATGAATTAATTTGCTGAAATGACGACAATCCAGCGAGTGATAAATAAAAAAATATTATAAGTCACTAATAAGAATAAAATAATTTGTTGAAATAAAATATTTGGTTTCAGAAGAAACAATGTGTGCCAAAGATGAGCGCAACCGAAAAAGAATTCAATCGCGATCGCTCGCGATCATGTTCGCAAATTGTTTCGCTGGAGGAGCACGCAGAGAGCGCGATCAGTTTTGACTTTAACAAGCAACGTTCCCATTTTGAACGCTGCACTTTGAGCGCGCGCGGGATCGCGTTTGCACTGTGTCCGTTAAATAAAAATGCAAGTTCAGAAAACCAATTCCATGGCATTCGCGTCGGCGTGTTTTTCCAGGACATCGCGCTAAAATTCAGACGCAAGTAGAAATCGAACGATCCGCAGCAGTATCGCTATCCTGTATCTCTTTACTACGTGTTGTTGGGTTACGATATTGCGGCAAAGCAACGCACTGCCTCGAAACGGCAGAGAATTACGTTGCGCTTTTTTCCCCCTTTCGTAACCATACTCTGACGTACGGCTCGGCCGGCGAATTTTTTTACACGATCCTACCTGTACGAGGTATAAAGCATTCGCTTTCCCGCCTATTCAATTTCTCGTTTTTTTCTCTTCTTTTTTTTATTCAGCTCCATCAGTTTTTTTCCCTAACGCTCTACAAATATTTGAGCGCCGACTATACCCCCCACCCCCCCCCGTCGAAAGAGCATTCGAGTCGAGTGAGCTTTCGCGCCCCCCTCCGGGCCAATCGCCGCTCACCGATTGTAATCTAAGCCAATGCTTCGGTGCGCATTAAATGTCAAACGTTATACGCCTCTCTATTTCACGGCTGCGGTAGCGAGCCGGGGCGTTGGATGTGGCAGTCGGCTCGACAAACGCTGGAAAATCGCGAGGCGGGATGCGATTGCCCCGACGGTTTACAGCGCTCTTTGACGCGGTTCCGTTGTCACGTACCACCATTCCGGGTTTCGATCGCGCCCATTTGCCGGGTTACAGTCGTAACAACGTCGAAACTTCATTGCTTCTACATGATCTGCTCTTCTGCCCCGAGCGCGCGATCTGAAAACGCCAAGATTCCCGTCGGATTCAATAGTAAAGCTAACAACATCGGCCGACGGATTTTGTCCAAGCGTTACTCGGGTGAATAGCTGCGCCTAGGTGGGAACCGCAGCGACGAGTGCTCGTTGCCGGCGGATTTTCATCGACACGCATCACGCACAACGCAATCCAGACACTGGCCAGGTGTCCGTCGTCTGGTGGCGCGCGTTGGTTTATTATTGGGGCCGGGGAGAGGGGGAGGGCCGCATCCGGATTTAGGATTGATGTGACGTGCAAAGCGCCGCGCGCGCACGGCCATGTGGCCGGGCCGCATTACCGGCAGCGTTATGCGCCGGCACATTCACGTGTGCTGCCGCGCATTAATTGATGCACGTCTCTGCATCAACACTTAGCCCGGCGTCTCGTGAGAACTCGTCATGTGCCTTACAGCAACGATACAATCGGAGCGCGGCGAGTCGTATCACTACACTGCAAACCGAAGGTATGTCATTTTATACAATTATATATATGTGAAATCACCACTTTTTACACGCGCGTTATTATTCGGAAAAATTCGTGTATATATAAAACGGCTCTCTATTGATGTATAATCAAATATGGGAGCCTCTGCGCAGGATTTGTGTATAATAAGAATAGTGTCCAACACTTTACAATATATAGAATATTTTATCCGGACGTTTCGATTCTCATTTAGGACTCTTCTCAGTGAATGTGAACGTGTATCGGAATATCAAGCCATGAAAAGTCGGACGATGCACGTACAAGTGAGTGAGTACAAGGAGTGAATGAAATAAACAAGAATAACGGCTGTCCAGGCACATCACTATGCATCAGGACGTTCATCGAATGTACGGATAGATTGCGGTGCAATATTTCAATGTTTTTTTACTAAAGGCAATACTAGAGGATACTATTCTTTTCTCAACTTCGCGATGGTCCCGCTGCAAGAAACATAAGCCCATAGATCCCACAAATGTCGCCCATACTCACCGATACGGCGATGACAGTTAGATGGCCGTGGCAGCAAAGATCCTTTATTGTAAGAATAATATAGAGCACTAGTAGCAGGAGGCCAAGCGGGAAGAGTACCTGTAGAAATTCAAAAGCACGGTGCAACTCGCAGACAATAAAGACATGCAAAAAATGACAATTACGAAAGCGGATAAATGTGACGAACACGTTAACCAAAAAGAAAGAAAAAATAAGGAAAATGTGGGGATATATACTGTAAGCATGATTTTGTTCGAAAGCATGCAAGACGCTCATCGGCGGGAGGCTGGAAATTCCGACGCAAATTCTCAAACTTTTTATCTCGTGTGTGGAAACTACGATATTAAGGTGTGATGTGCTCAAACGCGTGCTGAGGGTGGACAAAACTACTATGATTTTCCATACATAAGTGTGTAAAGATTACACCGCGTATACAAGTGTGCAACTTTTACACACTTATGCGAGTAAAATCATGGCAGTAATACGCGTAGAGATGCGTAAAAAATGGCTACATGATTTCGCGCACACACAAGTGTGTTATTTACAGTGGAGCGCGCTCGCTGATAATTAATCTCTTCCAGTCCCGCCTCGTTTCTTAGTCACACGCGAAGTACGCGAATGAGCGCGCGCGGGTATCACTCTGCTTAATTAATACGCTCGACTAAATTCGTTCCTGAGAAGCGCCCGGGGGAGGAGATCGATCGGTTCGTAATATTCGGCACGATGCACGTACTCGCGCGATTAATCAGACTTAAACGCGAGGCGAGCCCCGGCCTGAGTAACCGAACGCGGCGACGGTCACGCCCGAGAGCAGCTGTTCGCGTGTCTTCGCGTGCGTGCGATCGGCTCGCGTGTACGCGCTCCAACGTATGCAAAGGGGCGGCGAACCGGCGGGGGTAAACGTTATTGTAAACGTTACGCATGCAGAGGCTGCGCGACATATGGGTATGCGTTACGTCCGCAGGCTGCCAGAAATAGTCACGCGTAAACACGAGCGGTGGATCTTTTACGACGCGGGCGCGTGAAAGGGCCGCGATAACTGTGGCGACGGGAAGAGGGGCGCGCGCGCGGAATCCATGGAAATCGGCAGCCGGTCGTAAACTCGCGGGATCATATGCATTTTCACGGGTGCCCGTCAAGACGACGTCTACGTCGTTCCTCCTCCTCGAGGACGTCTCGCTTTTACGATCGTGCATTTCCGCGCACGAGTCGGCTACGTGACTTGAATCTCGATGCGTGCACGAGCGCGCGATCGGGGCGCAGACGTCGCGGGCCTAATCCCATCCCGTGATCCGAACGACGATCGTGGTAGGCGCGCACATCTTTCTCGCGGACGCTACACGCGTCACGTGCAAAACGTCTCCTTCCAACCCCTTCGCGAAGAGAATGAGAGAGAAGGGGGAGGAGTCGCCGGGGAAATTTAAAACTACTCGCGCAAGCGCAAGCTCACCATTTGCAGGTCGTTCCGATGCGACGATACCACTTCCAGAATATGAACCATTGGTGAACAATGAAACGCGGGTGATCGTGCTACTGGCGGGAACACGGCGAACTCTTCGAACGAAACTTGCACTGTTCGCGAGCGCACTACCGCCGGTCGTCGTCGGCGCGCGTTATCACAAACACGAAGAGTTCGCGCGATATCGTCGGCAGCATACACACGCCGTATCGTTGCGCCGGCACCGAATAAGGAAGGATATTCGAGTCTCTTCTTCCTCCGAGCACAAGCGGTTGCTCCGCCCGATAGGTACGCGGGGTTCGACGTGTGCCACGCGTGTGCGTACAGGGAGGGCACGAGCGAGCACGACGGTAGAGCGAGAGGGATAGAGGGGACAGAGCTATAGATAAAACCCCGAACGCAGCTCGTCCGCGACTGATTCCCCAGGCCTACACGCACCCTCTAGTTTTCTCCCTTTCATCCCCCACTACCCACCCTCTCGACCACTATCCCCTTCCTTCTCCTCGCCCCCTCCTCCCTCCTGCGCTCCCCCCTTTCTGCTACCCTCCACGCTCCTCTTACCCTTCGTAAGTCTCCCTCTTATCCCCTACGAGCGCCCCTCTCCGATGCTACGCACCCTTTGCGAGAAAGCCCACGCACCCTCGAAGCAGCCGATATACGTCTTTCTCGCTCGCTCGCTTTCCCTCTCTTTCTGTTCGTCTCTTTATCTCCCTCCCACCCCACGCATTTCCTCGTCGCCTCCCTCTTCCCTCTCTCTTCCTCCGCCCCTCTCTTCCCCAGTATCGAAGTCTCTCTCGCTCTCTTGGTGTCCTTTTCTACGCTGTCGTATCGAAGGGACCCCATAACATTCGGCCAATCAAACAGGCGCGTTTTTCCCGGGTTCTCATGCTCTGCGGTCCCCGAGGAAGAAAGAGAAAAGACAAAGAGAAAATCGGGACGAAGGAGAGGAGCCGGGATTCCGTCCCCGGGAAGGACGCGCATACATGTATATACTTACGTACTATCGCGGGAGTCTGTTCTAGGTCGAAGCCGTAATGGAGAAACGTTCTCCGAGGATTAGATCCGCTCCGCGAGATGTGATGGAACGATATCTATTAACGCAGGTTGCGTTCTTTCCAGCCAGAAAGAGAGAGAGAGAACTCTTGCGCTAGGAAAAGCGCGACGATCCTCCCCTGAGCGCCCCGAGTATTACCCGCGGTGCTCGTGCGATTCGACGATGAAATTAGGTCACCCATCGGACGTTATCTCTCATGAAGGGAGAATCAACGCTTGATGCAGCCAGATGAAACGTCCACGAGTGACGTATGAGCCGGCTTAATTCCGCTATTCATGTGAAAATTTATCTTGGCGAGCGCTACTCAACGTAAGAAGATGGATCCGAACGCATCGTCGAAAGGAGGCAAAATAAAGAGCACGCGAATGGAGAGGAAGGACACGAAAGGACCCGCAGTTAACCTCTCGACTTCGCTCCCTCCTTTCGCTCGGGGATTTGTTGGTCCAGAAGGACCACTCGTACGTACATTCGCGAAACTCTCTGCCGAGTCCTCTCGCTGTACCCCTTCCTACCGGCATCATCCGCAGTTCGCGTTTTTAAAGGGCGCACAAAAGCCACCGGAAATTGCTGCCGGCTCTTCCAACGTTACGGCCGATTCTATATCTGGCCTTCTCTCCTCCGTCGACCGACTCTCTCTCTCTCTCTCTTTTTCTGTCCTATTCCTGTGTGTGCGTATATCTCCCTCTCCCTCCCTTTTTTATCTGTCTTCCTCTTCCTTCTACTATCGACGATTTCACGAGTAGGTACCTACCGAGGCGGCAAGAGTTCCGATAATGGTGGATTTGGATAGCGGCTCGGCCGGGGACGAAGCGCAACGACGAATGATCGTCGGCTACGGGGTTGGCTTTAACGAAGTACGCTCGTGGCGGGTTATATCGTGCGAATGATCTGTCTCTTTTACATTATCTACCGAGTAGGAGGTAAGCGAGCAGCAACAGTCGACCATCGTTTAATGCGCGATCCGCTCTATGGGAACTTGTATTTTGCTTTTGTAGGCGGTACACGATACGTAATACTTAGAAAACGAGTGAGTGTATTAAATAGTTACCGCGTTTCGTTAACAATGAGAGTTGGTACTTTTCTTCCGTTCCAAATAAGCTGTATCAAACGGTAACTTCGTTTTTCGTTACGAAGCGAATTAGTTGAAGCTCTCACGCGTTATTCAACCATCGAAATTTATTCCATCAATGACCGGCCGGAGAAAATTGCGATTCCATTCGAAATGACGTGATACTCGCCGTAGAAAAAAAGTTGAGTCACGCCTATGAGTTGCTAAGAGGAAAGCAAGAGTCTGCGAGATGCTCCTCCGGAGCTGCTGACTAGGCCGAAGTATTTACCTAGCGGCGAGGGTGAAGATGGACGCGCACGGAGAAAGGAGGCAAGTGAAAGTTCGTAAGGAAAACTCCAACGAACCAGGCCGCGTTGCTTTTTGATGACTTCGGCGAAGTTCGCCCCGGGACGATGAGGTCTGGGAAAGACTTCGAAACTCGAACGTCGATATGGAAAGTGCGGGAGCCCGGATGTTATGGATTACGCGATCAATCTCGTGCGAAAATGGCGAAAAGTTCGCGGGCCATGAAGCGCGAGGAAAAAAAGTTTCGCCGTTTGATTCGCCTGTTCCGACATCTCCCTGCATCCGTGCGCGCGACCACTTTTACGCCCGCTATTGTGGAAAGATTGATTCCATGAATTCGTGATGGGCTCCGCGGCAAGACGAATGATCGTCTCGGATCGTAGGCGTGTTACGTGTTCGCGGAGGTATCGGCTCCATTATAATCGAATATGTTCGCACGCCGCTTTAATAGAAACCTCAGCTGCGACAGGCTGGATGCCGTTGGCGAGCCAACCCACCTCGACTGAGGGTCGTTCGCATTACGTCCGAAAAAATTCGTCGACAGGGATAATCGCTTGTCATCAACGTACACTCTGTCCCGCGACACGCGAACTTTATTCTCGCCGGTGTAATCGATACTCATAGACGCCACATTAATTCGATAGAATTCCGTGACATAATCGCACGCGATCCATTACGTCACCTGCTGCCGGATGATCCTCGAGTAACTGCGAGACACCCATCGAGCGCGTCGTGGCGCGAGGACACAGACCGAGAAGCACTTCATCCCATTTCCGCGTCTTTTTTCCTGAGCCCTCGTAGACATCCCGAAGAATCAACACGCGATCTCGGCGCGACACGCGAACACCTTATGCCGATACTTCCCGCGTATCGATCGCACAGCGTGGAATCGCAGATAGAAAGTAATAACACGGAGATGTGGACGCGACGGAACTAGATTTTAATGTCCTCAAGGGTGATATTGATACCGCGCGCGGGCTGAAACAGTGCCCTCCCGAGAATACGCTCGGCAGAATCTGATCACGGACGATATTATCGCGATACGTATATCCGGCCCGGCGATATTATTCATACGCGGTATGCGTTGTAAAGAAGCCACGGGGCCAAGCTGGAGATGCGATCGTGAACTCGGCAGCAACCCTCCATAGCAACCCGCGGGAGAGCCTCTTACCCGGTTTCCCGGTATCCAAGTCCGCGATTAGCGACCCTTCTACTAACTCACAGCCCGTGTTCCATGCGAAGACCCTTCGCTTCGTGACTCTTCAACATTCTCCGTATTGGCCTTATTCTCTCTCTCTCTCTCTCTCTGTATTTCACTATTCTCGTTCTCCTTCTCGCCACAACTCGTTCTCGCGCTCATCGTCGAAGAACTTTTTCGTCCTACTTTATACCATTCTTCTTTTTCGTCACGGTTCTCTCGTTATCATTTTGCGATCCCGCGCGCTATGGTCACACACGTTTCCTCGGATTCATCGGCATGGCCGGCGGCTCTTTTCCTTCCGCTCGTTCGCTCCGCGCTATTATGTAACTATACAGCCTTTAGCAAGTTAAATGCACATGCAAATATTTTCAACCTATTGTATAATGAAAAAGCGTTATCCATGTGAAGAGCGAGCTGGCTTGTGATTGATCAGTCTTGCGTAAGAAATGAAATAAAAAAGAACAAGCGAGTTTCAGAAGGGTAACCAATGGCGTCAGCAGCGCTACCCCCTTCGTTGCGCTCGAGCTCTTATGCTCGAGCAGGCGCACGCAATCAGCTAGTTATTTTGATAGCTAGAGCCGTGCCATCTGCGTTGATTCCCGGAGAGATAGAATGTGTAGATGAACGTATGGCTTCGTATAGTATAGTATAGTGTTGCATCTCGTTTCGCGTGCTCGTGGGCTACTGAGATTCCGATTTTCCCATTTTTAATCATTTAACGAACGATGCGTTATTTCGGTAAATGTTACTAGACATGCGAGTCGAATCGAATTACTATTGATTCGATTCGAGTTTGTTTTCGAATCTAAAAGGTTTGAATTCGAGTAGCTCGATAATTTAGAATTATCGGCGTTTCGATTTCGAATCGAATGTTTCCATAATATTTTTCAGACATATTCACCAGCTTGTAAAATTGATTACGTATGTATATATTTATCTATCAACTTATAAGCTCTGCACACTCCTTGTTTGATATCTGTTACACAGTTTTTAGCACTTAGCACAGCATTTTCCTTGTGGTGGGAGATCTTCTCAAAACTATGCGCTGATTAATATTTTTATCCATTAAAAAAATCATTGTTTTTAATATCATTGAAAATACTTTATCATATTCAGATGTATGTAATGTAAATTCGATTCGATTCGACATCAAACATATGATTAAAGATTCGGTTCAATTCAACCACGCAGATGCTCGATTCGCACACTGTGTCTACTGTGTGCCAACCTTGTTATTAGCGATCAGTAAATTTTTAATAATCTATGCGTATGAATAATACATATCGACAATGTTTGCTGCTTGTGAATAAAACGAGTTACATACATATGGGAGAAAATGAGTCGGTATTATTCCGCATATAAAATCGCGCATTGGACGGGAAGAAACGGTGAGAGAGCGTTTAACTGTCGCGAGTCCAGATGTTTATCGAGAATTCATACAAAGACGGCGAGTACAGAAGCGATTGACTTTGTTGCGAGGAAGGAACGCGCGTGGAACTCACGGTACAGCGTTTCAATAGGGGGAAGGGAAAATTACTAGATACCGCACAATTGCAATTGATGGGACGGTCCGAAAGTATGAAGGAAAGAAAGGAGGGAAGGAAGGGGGAGAGCAGGCCAGGTGTATTAAAAGTCAGGCTAGCTGCACGAAGTACGATGACCCCGGCTCATATCGACGTTCGATCTTCGACATTCATTTTCCTCACATTTGTTTTCACGAATAAACGAAGCGCGCCTTCATTGGATTGGTACATTTCGTATCAATTTC